AAAGGAAAGGAAAGGAAAGGAAAGGAAAGGAAAGGAAAGGAAAGGAAGAAGGAGAATGGGAGGAAAGGAAAGGAAAGGAAAGGAAAGGAAAGGAAAGGAAAGGAAAGGAAAGGAAAGAAGGAAAGGAAAGAAAGGGAAGGGAAGGAGGCAAGGAAAGGAAAGGAAAGGAAAGGAAAGGAAAGGAAAGGAAAGGAAGAAAGGAAAGGAGGAGGTTATAATGAGAGGGAGTGAGGATCTGAGGGAAGTCCTGCCTTAGAACTTGGAAACCACAGGCGCCCCGGAAATGAGTGATGTCAAGATGGCCACACCCATTCATGGCCACACCCACCCCAGCCCTCCAAGGTCAAACACAATCCTGATGCGACCCTCCATGAAATCAAATTTGATATCCCTATCCTACCTCTTTCCTGTTGACCTCTCCTCCAAAGGCAAATTCAATTTAATACAATTTAAATGTCCAAATCCCCCCCCAAAAAAGAGTATTAAAACTTGTAAAACAAACGTTTGAAGACACATGCATAACAAGGAAAACGACAACAGAAATGCAAATCTTGTCAGAAAAATCCAGTTTTATGTGTATCCTTGACAGCTGGCAAAGGGATTCCTATCATCTTGAAAGCAACTTATTTTTTGCGAAGTTTTTTTTTCTTGTTTCTGTGTCAGTAAATACAAATCACATCCTTGGCACTTGATTGTAAAGCCTGTGTGTTAAGTGCTGTTGCTCAACATGGAGGTTTTTGTCACATAATTCTTTGCTTTCAAGAGCACAAGTGTCCCATGTGATTGGCAGATGGCACTCTATATTTGTCCCCTTGTAATAATTCACAAGCTCTGCACTTGCATATCAAGAGCAGAAAGCGCAGCTGAAAATTACAGCTCTGGTCTCTTAAGTGGAGAAATCCACCTGTTTGAGGCAGTTGGACTCCAGAACGTTGTGGCAGATCCCAGGGCAAGTACGTTGAAGACCATCAATGGAAAGATTTATGGAATCTTGAGATTTTCCCACAGCAGAATGAAAATCTGAAGTTTACGTAAGAGGTTCTGTCAGGTTCAAAAGACCAGGTCTCCACATGAAGGTCCAACTAAACTGGTTTATTTATTGCTACAGTCTATGCCCGAGAATCTTCTCAACTAACAGTTAGCATCTGGTTAGAGTTAGATAAGGAGGTTGGATTTAGTTCAATTGTGGCTACACAGGGATTCTAGACTGATACCTCTTTTAACTCTGCCCCCTAGGTTCTCCCAGTCCTTCCCTACAGATTCTGGGTCAGTGATGTCTCCAAAGCAAGCTAGGGGCTGTGATACATGTGTATTGTAAGTTCAGAGATGCACTAGGTATCCCCCCCCCCGCCCCCCCCGCAGCTACGTGGCAGTAAGTTTTAGATTCAAATAATCAAAAAAGATGACATTACAAGGTTCTATGTTTAGTTGCCTCCTTCTAATAATAAATGAAATTCTTTCCTCTCCTTTCCATGCCCCAAACAATATTGGCAAGATTATCCTTTATTTTGGGTTAGTGGTTCTTTCTTTCTTTCTTTCTTTCTTTCTTTCTTTCTTTCTTTCTTTC